AGGGTTTAGGGTTTAGGGGAACATGGCTGGCACCCGCAAAGCACTGCTAAGCTTCAAGTATTGTTCCACGCCCAGGTCGTCGCACTCTGCCTCCTGGACAATGAGCTGAACCATATTGATGAGTCCTTGGTGCTTCTACACTGGCAAGGGACTACTTTCAGCAAGCTATATAGGAGTTACCGGCACAAATGTCTGTCTATGGAAAGACGCAGAGTAAAAACCTCCTCTGTGTGTTCCTGAATCTCGCACTGTGATCCTTCAACCAACAGGCTGAAACTGTGGTCCCCGAGGCTACCACTCCAACCCCAAATCTCCGATCCCCTCAACCCTAAACCCATCTCCCCTAAACAAAGCAAGGAGTCGGCTTCCGAGGTCTCCCTGGCCTCAGGTTGAGGGCTGAGTTTTTCGGATTTTGAGGGCTGCGAGTTTAGGGCTGCGACGCTGTTTTGGAAGGTTTTCGATATTGAGGGTTGCGCAGGGTTAGGGTGGAAGCTATCAGGTTGTTTGGACTTTGATGTGAAGAAAATGGGGTTTTGAGTTTTGGTGTTTCTTTAACGGGTGCGGCAGGGGGGTTGAGGAAATCAGACTATAGAGCTGCTTTGAGTTGCGAGCAGGGCTTGGCAAAACAAACAGCGGAATCTGGCAAACGCTCCCGCCAACTACGACTCACTTTGACCGTTAGCCCGAACCCGAAGCCCCTCTGAGCACTGGAAGTCCTGCACTCAAGGTCTTGCAAGCCTAGCAACGCCACAGCTGCACACCACCTCCATGTGCTTTCCCCAGTGCGAGATCTCTGACGAACTCGCGAATCCTTGGCTGCTCCACTGATACTGTAAAAACCAAAAACGTGCATCGCGCAGTATCTTCTAGTGGTTGATATAGACCTCATTGTAGCGTAGACTTGATTCTGGACAATGCAAGACTTTCTCCAGAAGATCTGGGATGTTGGTGGGCCCCGAGCTCGAAATCTGAAAAGGGCGCGCGCCCCAACCCTAAGTTTAAAATGCCAGTCCTGAAGCTCCAGACGCTGAAGTCTAAAACGTACTCACTGGACCTTTGCTCGAAACCCGATTCTTAAGCGGCACTGAAGCTTAGAGAAACCAAAGCAACACTCGAAGCTCATGGGGCTCCCTTATCAGAAGGAATCCTGAGCCCTGACCCCAAGACAGTCTAAGGTTTAGTGTTCAGTTTGGCTTTTGTTTTGATGTGTTTTTTCTAGTTTCTGCGGGGGAGGGAAGGGTTCTGGAGTTTCGGGTTTGGCAGATTCAGAAACTGTGGGAGTCTCGGGTTTCGGGACTCGTCTGGTGCGTTTCTTCGGGTTTACCCTTCTTTGACAGCGAACAAGCGACTCCATGCATCGGCGCTCCGCATCCTGAAGCTCGGCGGGCAGGAGGCGGAGCCGCAGCTCTTGCTGGAGAAAGAGTGGCTCTGCCAGCTGCGTGTGCCTGGGATTTGGAGTAGCCAAGGAGAAGGACTTTCGGCTGGAGGGCCAGGGGTTGAGGTTTGGTGGGGTTCGGGAGCCAAAGCAGCAAAGAAGACCAATGACGATCATCAACCCCAAACCACTAAGCCAACCCTGAACCCTCAACTCTACATCCTGAACTGCAAGCAGCGCCCAGGTGCCTTACATGAAACACCTCAAACTTGGCGAGAGATGGCAAGGCTTCGAAGAACTCACGGCGGGTCAACACCTCAGCTGTGATTTAGGGCCTTCGGCCTTCGCACCTTCAAGCTTCGGTTGAGGGCTATCCCCCCAGCTGCGGGAAGATTGAATTCGATCTCTCTTCGTTGGCAGGCTTCTTCCGGTGAGAGCCCTTCGCGAAGAGAGGGGACCTGTGCCAAGCCTCAAGATCCCGCAGCAGGAGTAGAAGAAAGGGCAGCCCTGGAGCTCTGAGATTCTTTTGACACCCAGCATTGTGTAGAAACCCCTGAGAATGCCGAGATTCTTCTGCAAGCTGCCACAGGGGGGACCGGAGCCGCTCGGCGAATCCGAACAGCTTCGCTTGAATCTGCACGGCCTCGAGGCCCACCTCGTCCCAAAAAATCGCCGGTTTACAGAGACGTGGTTGAAGGTTTTAGGGGTTGGGTTTTAGGGGTTGGGCATAGTGACCCAACCTCTGCCAGGCGGACGACCCAGGCGATGGCCGCTTGTAAGACGAACTCCAAGAGCTTGGCCCGGGCCTCGCTGGAAAGCTCACCAGCCGCATGCACTGCGAGATGGTACAACTTCTCCTGCTCAAACGGAAGATGCCTATAGTCTCCATTGTTGTTCCTTTGTTGCGTTATCTTTATGGGATCCTAGTCGCAATCAAAAAGTTGGATAAACCAAAGACAGGTTCTACAATGGATGCGATAAGATAGGATTCAGGGTTAGGGTCTACGGCAAGAGGTATGAGGATACGGCTTGGGGCTCGAAGCTTCTAAATTTGATCCTGAGACTCTCTTGGACACTTTGTAGCTTCAAGGCTTGTTGAACAACTTTACATCTTCTGAAGAGCGCGAGAGAAGGCCCATGTGAATCAAGTGAGGCGCTTCTCTTGAAGCCTTAACCCTTGAATTTGAAAAGTCCCAAGCTCGCACCCTACCAGTGGTTCTTGGATGTAGCTTTCAAGGTTTAAAGGCTTCAAATGGGCGTGAAGGTGTGTTTGCTCGGATTAGGTTCGATTTACGGTCGCGGGTCCGCGACCAAGCCTTCACGTTCAAGCCAAAAGACAGGGGAAATGTGCTAGAATCCCCACCCCTCCCAAATTGAGAATAAGACATTCAGGGCCCCTGCCCCCGAATCCCATTTCCTCTTGAATTTCTACAGTACTGCCCCAAAAGCCTAGCCACAACTTCCATGAAGGGAGCTGTGGAGTTGTATATCCGTGCTATGCTCAGGGCGCATTGTTCAAGGTATATTAAGGCATGGGGGTCACTCCAAACCAAAAATCCGATTCGAGCCGTGGGGCTCAAAAAAGAAGCTTAATGTAATCAGTGTTGTGAGTGTAGCGTTCAAAACGTGCGATTTGCGCTTGGGAAACAAGATTACGGGTCGAGGACTTCGACTAGTGTTTGAAGATATGGGTTTTGGTTTCTGCGGTCTCCTCGACATCCGTCAACTTAGACTCGATGGTGTCGGCTTGACCACCAACCTTGCTGCTCTCGAGGAAGTGCAGGGTGCCCACAACCTCCTCGGTCTTCAAGCGACAGTGCTCCTCACAGCATACAGATAGCGAGGAGCACATGTAGCCCTGGCATGTGGTTGTTCAGCGGCTACGCTGGGACACAAGTTTGATAAGCAGCGCTCCTCCCGGTAAACTTCCCCCAGTCGCCTTTGCATCTGCCGCACCTCCTGTAGGACAGCTGCAGAACTCTCGCTGTGAGCCCCGAGGGACACAGCAAGAGCTGCTTTCAAGGAAGGGTCCCGGATGCCAGCGAGCAGCTGGTGGGCCTCTGCCGGTGTTCCCAAGCCTGAGCGGGAAGCACAGCTTGCGCCTTGTTACTCTGAGCTTCACACGAAGGAAGAAAGCAAGGCAAGGATTGTGATCACCAGCATGCATTGAACAGCCCAGAAGCGCAACATGTAGTCGCATCTCAAGGATGTGAGATAGCCCTCCATACTGTGAGACTCCACAAGACCCGCCAAAAGTCTCGTCTGAAAGGAGGTCGCCGGCTCAATCGGAGAGCAAATGTGACAGAGCCAAGGCGGCAGCAAACCTACCACATCTTGCTCATGAAGGAACCCGGCCCATTTCAAGTTCTCCTGCTTCCTGTAGGCTTCTGCGAACTCTGCATCCCCGATGCGCGGCGCTCCAAAGACCACCACTCGAATCTCCAGAGCTGGGAACACCTGCATGAAAGGAGCCATAGAAGGTATTCGGGTATATGGGTAGTTCTCTAAGCCAGGGTCTCTTTTTCGGTCCCCAATATGGTACGGCACCCTTATACACAAAGGACCCTAAAAGGGATCCTAATTTAGAGAACTACCCATATGGGTGTTAGGGCAGGCTGGAGAGGCTTCAGCCTTGGACTTATTTCTGAGAGAGCCTTTAGGCTTTTCTCGGTTCCTACCTTAACGCCACGGACTTCAAGACGTTTTCGGATTTAGCGAGGTTCTTGTTAGAGGATGTAATGTCAGACACCATAAAACAGAAACCATATTATTTACGATAGGTCACTATCATGGTAACTTAGATTAAACTTCTTGACAAGAACACCTAAACTCAAACCCTAAACCCGAAAACGAGGCTCTGATGGGACGATGTACCTAAGCCCCTTAAGGGACTAGGGCCTTGGCCAAGAAGAGCCCTGCCAGTGTAGCCAGGGCTGCCCCGCGCGAGTGGCCCGTCAATCGGAGGACTTGAGGCTTCTTGGCCTGAGGGTTTAGGGTTTAGGGTGTAATTCTTTGTAAGGGCTTCATTTAAGGGGTTGAAGAGCAAAGAGGGCTTCACAAGGCTGTTTATACAGGTGGTCTAAGCAAGGCTTTTGCATCGGTTTGCAACGGTTCTATAAGATTGTTTCTGGTGTTTTAGAAGGTTTAACGGGTTTCATGGTCACGAGGCTGTATAGGGTTCCTGGCTGTTGTTTACAGAAGAGGCTAGTAAGGGCACCTTTTGGCTTGCGTTCTACTGAGCAGAATACAACAAAAGTGAATTTGCGCGGCTCTCCAACTCCATCACACATGAAACATTAACCCTCGACAGGAAGCGCGAAACCTCTGGAACCTTCATTTGATGCCCGCTACCTCGACGATATGCATCGTCAAGCCGTCTGCGATGTCCTGCAAAGCTTCTCCCAAGCCTCAGGCCCTGAACCCTGAATCCAAGACATCCTGAACCGAAAACCCTCATTCCTGAAGCTCTTACAGCGCAAATCCCGATCCATCCTCCTCAAGAACTGTAGCACTATGAACCCAAGTCCCAATGAAACTTTCAGTTGCTACCTGACTGCTCCGCCTCCATGGTTTACCGAAGTGACTGCAGAGGAAAACAGCCAATAGCCGAGTGCATAGCAATACGAACACGGAACATCCAGAAACAAATTTTGCTTCGGTGGTGTCCAGAAACACGTCCTTTTCTCCACGGAGGGCGACAACAAAAAACCGGAGTCCAAAAACAAAAGCGTGTGCTGTTTAACAAAAGATCTTAAAGACAGAGTCGCCTTGAAGGGCTTTTCTGCAGTGGTCCTAATTATGAACTTGTACGGTGATTTGCGGTTTTGCAATTTGCTTACTTCACAAAACAAAAGCCAACAGTTCAGCAGTGAGATGACCCCCCAAACATACCGCAAAACCCTAAACCCTAAACCCTGAACCCTCCAAACCCTAGAACGCAACAGCCGAACCCAAAGCCCTAAGCCCCGAATCCAACACCGAAGCCCCATGTCCAACACCCGTCCCCAAGTCCCAAAACGTTTGGGTTTAGGGTTTAGTGGATTTGGGTTTAGGGGAGTAGGGGCGTAGGGTTTATGGGTTAAGGGGACTAGGGCTTAGGTGAAGCAAAAGCCTAAAAATCCGACACCCCAAACCTGCGGCCCTGTCCTTGAGGGCCTCTGCATATCCTGCATGGATTCTTCCTTGTGAGGCAATGGGTCCATGAAGGAAGCTGGGTTCAAGCGGTCTTTGGGTTTAAGGTTTCAGCCTAGGGTCCCTTTACAGAGGGTCGGGCTATGGTTTAAGGGGTTAGCGCGGTTAGGGGTTCTTATTAGGCTCTTGCCAAAGCTTTAGGTTGTCCTGGGAGTGCTTAGGGCGTAGGGCTTGGGTTTGGGTGTTGGCTTTGGCATGTGGGATCCCGTGCTATGATACACTGCCATTAAAACCTAAATCCTGGAAAGGACGTCTATCTGTACCGGAGGCACAACGAGGTGTTCAGGGACTTTAGGTTCATCGGCCACGCCTTGGCGTTAAAGGAAAGCTTGCTCGCAGCAGGCTGCTTGACTTAGTTTCTGGTGTCGCTCCTTTGAAAGAATGATGCCTTCAGAATGGGGGGGCTTTGAAGCTTGAGGCTTAGGGTTAGGGGTTAGGAATTACGGATCACCGTAGTGATCGATCCCGGCATCATTGCTCTAGGGCTTGCCATTGGTTAAAGGCTTGCCGGAAGGGCTTTGATTTCGGGCCGTCATCAGAACGTCGGTCGCAGGGATCAACATCTGCTATAACGGACGGCTTGCTGGTGGGAAGCTTTTAGCACATATGCTTGAATGCTACTGAGTTCCTACTGAGTATTTCTTGCTCGCTCGTGTCGACACACAGGGACCTGCACCCCAGGAGCCCGAAGCCGTAAAGCTAGAACGTCCTAAACTACAAACTCCGAACTCTGAAGCCCCGAAGCTTCAATAGCCGCTGCAATGCTCAAACACAAAATGTGGATCCGTAAATCCTCAATTCTCTACCCGCCAGCCCCCTTTCTTTTGCAGAAACGGACCGAGATTCCACAGACGGGCTGATCGAGAGGCCACGGACAGACCGATGCCTTCATGTTCCTCGGCTTGTCAAGCCCAAGAGAATCAGGCTTGAACTACCAAAACCTGCGTGATTTGCAGGATCCCTAGAATTGGTATATTAGGAACTGTAGTAAGCACCTAGAAAATCGGTGATGGTAGTTTGCGGTAGGCTTTCAAGGTTGGGGCCGGGAAGCTGGAACATAGACTATGCTCCTTTCCCAATAAAACCAACAGGCTTCGTCCTCAAATCCCTACACCCTAAAGCTCTACCTTCCGACTCTAAACCCTAAAACCCTAATCCTGTATAGCCGCAATCCAAGGGGCCCTGATTCACCGATCCAGTGCGCCATCTGCGTGGAGCCCGGCCACGCGAGCCAGAGCTCTCGGTCTCCTTCCGTGACCCGAAGCCGTACGAGGGTTTACCAGGGTGTCAAAACGGTGCAAAACGGTTTTGTAAGAGCTTTGTATGAAGGCTTTAGCTTTCATAACCGTCTTGATAGAGGGGTTTGCCGCTTGGCATTGCTTCAGGGCCTAGGGTTATGAAAGGCTGCAAGGGTTTAAGGGTGCGGGGCTCGCACATGCGCGCGCGCACTCTCTCTCTCTCTCTCTCTCTCTCTCTCTCTCTCAGTGGAATGTTTGCAAGTTTTTTTAACAGACGATAAAGCAGTATCATCCGTGTAGATTCAGAACGATCAACCCTATATACATACTCCAGACTTGGCACAAGGCTTTATGGACTGTCAGGACAGGTCCTTCTTCCCGGTGAAGCATCCTTTCCCTGCCGCATGCTGTCACCAGACATCCGGGCCCCACCGTCTCCTCCGGGGCATCTCGAGAGCTGAAGATAGCAATACGGGAGACTGAAGAAGTTGAGTAGGCTTTGGGGCATATCATAATATGAGTAGAGACTACTATACGGGGACGCTGTTGCTGATCATTAGTCGAGGTATTGTGCCTTCCAATCACTCGACTCGGACCACAAAACCCGGATCCTAGAATGAACCGGATACCTTGGGTTGCTGCCGCTGGTCTCGCGGCATAATACGAACCTTTCCCCGTAGACCGAGCCCAAACTGCGTGTGCATGTACTGTCTCTTCTTTCGGACTATGCCCGACTATGCCCATGCTTTGGATTCGTCGAAAATGGGTTCTGTAGGTAGATGCATCTCATGTGTTGTGTCTGTCGTAGGCCCCGTAAAGTGTGGTTTGCACGAGTTTGCGTCTGAAGGCTTGTCCTCAAGAACTTCTATGGTATGGTACTTAAGCCGAAACGCTCAAACACGCGTGCGCGTCCCTGAGGGTTGTGGGCTCAGAATGCATGGCTGCTTAGCTGGATAGCCGGCGTCCTCGTAGCACCACTGTGCCAGTCGTGCATACTGCCAGATCATCGTGTCTTCAACCAGGATGTCTTGCTCTGGCTCAAGGAAAGCTCGCAGTTCTTGCTGGAAGACCGTGGCCTGCAACTGCTCGATTTGGAGGTTTTTGGGTTTCAGGGTGTATCCAAAATTAGGAGCCTTTATGATTACTGTAGAATAGGGTTTTGGGGTATATGATAATTAGTATACTATATCTACAATAAGGAACCCCTATATCAAAAAGGTTTTGGAGTTTCACAGGGTTTTCGTTCCTCGGCATCTGCTAAAGCCCAGGGGCAGCGACTCAACACATCTTGACTTTAGCTCCCAAAGTTCCAGATCCTTCCAATCTATTTTGAAACCATCTTCACGATCCCTGCACATTCACCCTGCCCCAGAAATTCAGAAGCCCGGCATCCCCCGAACTTGAGCTCCGAGTCTTCAGAAAGATATAAGTCACCAAGCACCAATACTTCAAAGTACCCCAAGCCTATATTACCCGTCCAAAAAACATGATAAGGGCCTGAAGGCCCACAACCGGTTGCATGCCCGCCGAGCAGTCACAAGCCTCGTCTTTTGATTCTCTAGTTTTCGACGGTTGGCCGTAGCATTGGTGCGGCAAGCAATTTTTCCTGATGCGTTAGTACGTGGATGGTGTGGCTTTTGCTCGCTCGGCTTCGTTAACCTTTGTGGTCTGGCGTGATGCATGTTGCTCGGCATCCAAGTCTAGGGTCTTGGGTTTGGGGCTTTAGGGTTTGGGGGGAGACTCGGTTTGGGGGTTTAGATGCATGACGCCTGCAACTGGCGTGCAAGGCCTGTGGGAAGTGTCAGCTTAGCCTCCAGACTTCGAAAACAAGAGAAAACATGTACTCATACCGATCAGAAGCAAAGCCTCGCTCAGCTCTACAGGTATAACTCCATAGAAACTGTAAGCACTAAACCCAAGCCGACTGGGTGTCGGATGCTCCGAAACTCATCAGCCGAGATGCTGCAGAATGGAAGCGAGAGCTGCAACTTTGAGCCAGCATGCTCGGTATCGAGGTAGGGTGACGCATGCGAGGGGTTCAAGCAATGCTGAAAGATCGAACACTAGTGGAAAATCCTGTGGTATCGCATTTCCAGTGCAGAATTACGTAGGCTTAACCTAGCCCGGCGATAGACGACCCCCGTTCGTTCGGGCTGCCCCATTTAGACTCCCGGTGGTGTGCTAGTCGTAAGGTAATGAGAAGCCCTAAACCCTAAACCCGAACTAAACCGAAATCCTTGAGCCCTCAACTCTCAACCCTCGATCCTCAAACCTCCAGCCCTGCTGGAGCAGGATTTAGGGTGCCATGTGCCAGCACCCAAAAACCAATCAACATCTCTAGGTTAAACTCTGGAAGGATGCCTCGCGAATCCGATGCCCGGTGCGCTGCAAGCTTTTGACGCACTGCGCAGCTCCACTCAAAGCATAACGACGGTACAATATATGTTCCAACATACGGCAAAAGACTAAAATAGATTGATCTGACAACATGCGGGAAAAGACTACGAATAAGTGTAATCTATGTCCAAGCGCGTCACGCAGAGGGCTGCTGCGACAGGCCTTGGCAATTCAGGCTTTGCTTTTTGGGCGTTCAAGAGGCATAATAAGGAGCCTCAAAAGGCGGTCTCTTAGGGTCCAGGCACTGCCTAACTTATGAAGCCGGTCCTGTCTGTGATGAGCTTAATTAATACAGAAGCCCAAACGACCAGCAATAGTTGTCCCCTTATCCCCAACCCTACTGAAATCGCTTCGGCCGTTGAAGCTTTTTGCCTTCACCCAAAATTGAACATTGGAGGCTCTGGGATTCAGTGGCTGCTTGTAGATTCAAGCACTTTCCGCGGGTCAAGGTCGAAGGCGCGACTAGGGTTTGCCTACATAACATACAGCCCCACATCCATATAACGCCCTCAGTATAGGCACCCCTGAATAAGGTAGCCCCCAAACATCAAGAACCACATGCGACGCAGTGTAACCCCAGTGAAAGCCTCATCAAACCCGGCGGAGACTGTTTCAAGGCGTCCCATGCGGAGTCTCTGCCCTTGCTTCCTCCAAGCGCCACATTGTCTGCGCTCGAAGAGGACGGCACAAACCCGGATTCCGAGCTTAGGGCTTCAGCTTAGGATTTAGAGTTTATTGTCTGGGGTTTACGTGCATGAAGTCTACGTCTCCAAGAACTCGGTCTGCTTCGTTAACACATCTTGAGACCAGGTCCAAAGTGTCTTGAACTACATTCTGAATCAGAATAAGGCGCCGTACCGCTATGCAATTCATCCACGGCCGCCCCATTATCGCCGGCTGCAGCCTATAAGCCCCTAACTTGAGCCCCAAACCGTGCTAAACACGAGAATGCCGTCGGGCTCGACCTAGAGACCTGGAAAATGCTGCAAACCCCAAACGACCATCCTGATCGATCCTGTACTACTACATCAGAACCCCAAACACCTTTGCATAAGCCTCGAGGTTTAGGTTTTAGTGCTTAGGGACTTTAGGGTGAAAGTACAAGTGCTGCATGTGCAACATCCCCTAAACCCTCATTCCTCCCTCAGAAGGCAAAGGATGCGCGGCGTCCCGCTTCCGCCGCTGCCTTGGCCTCCACTGCCAGAACAAACCAAATGCTCGAGAGTTTAAAGTTGCTATTACTCGTGGCCCTTCCGAGGACTCAGGCTCTTTAGGGTTTAGGGCTTGAGGTTTATGGTTTATAGGGTTTAGGTGAAGTGTCGGCGTTATCGACTTCTGGGTTTGCATGTGTTTCAGGCCGAGGGTTTTCATGAGTTTGGATATCGGTGCTCAGGTTTGACAGGATTCTGTTGAAACTCAAGCTGGCAGGTTCGAGTTTTTTCTGATTTGGTGGTTGCAGGTTTGAGTCGGGGGATTAGGTTTGAACAGCTCAGCAACCCTGGACCCACATCGAAGTTGGAACAAAGTATGGTATACCCATAGGCTCCATTGTAGATTCTACAAGGTCATCCCCAAAACGAGCTGCCATGGAGCCCATGGTATATGGATGTGATTATCGTATGGCTAGATAGGGACTTTGAGGGTGTATTCGTGGTCCGTCACTAGTGAAACTTACATAATGCTGAAGCTTCGCGGGCCAAGACGTTTAGGGCTTTAAACTTAAACTTCACGGATCGACTCGTGAACCAACTTCGGGGTCCAAGAGTGGAGTTGGAAGGGTGGGCAGGCCGCCTTCTTGTTGCTTGGTGACGCATCTTCGCCGGTTGTGTTTGCGAATGCCGCATACCTCGGCAGGACTTGTCACATCGTCCACGGCTACAGGCTTAGTGTTCAGGTCATGGTCCACTGTTGTGAGGTTTAGAAGGTTTTCGGCTTCAGGGCGCATCGTCCATTGCTGACAGTGTTGCGGCTACCATGTTGGTTCAAGCCCAGTACACCATGCGAGTCTGCCACCTGCAAACCCTTCGGATAACAGATGCTGCAATTCCGGGTTCACGAAGATCCAGTTCTGAATTCTGCCTGCCTCGAGTTTCGATTTCAGGACTCCCTCCAATTTCAGAAGCTCCGTTGCACTCCCGAAACTCCACTTGCCGGCAAAGCTGCGCATCAGGAAGACTGCCATAAGTCTTCACCAGATGCTGCGACAAATCCTGAAAAAGTAGCTTTTCGGTTCTTTGGGCTTCGGTAGGCTCATGAACATGAGAGCGCTCAACCGCATACACGCTGTTCAGGAACCTGGGGACGGAAATGGTGGATTTTGGGTTGAGCCTTAAACCCCGAAGCACTAACTTAATAAATCCATCTTCGACAAATATACATTGTCAAATTGGCATGTCTGGACTTGAAACCCTGAAAGCTGACCCAACATCCCTCAGATCTACCTCGAAAGCCTGGATGCACAAGAGGAAGCTAGAAACATGTTGAAGCAGGAAATCTGTGGGTTGCAGAAGGGGAAGCTCAGGAAATCGGTGGGTTGCAGAACTTCACTGTTCGCCCCTAGAAACCCTCAGAGCTTACATGGACATTTTGATGCAAAAGCGGCTGCTAACGCAAAGATCTCCGCACGCCGTGGAAGAGCATCACAAAGGATCAAGAAGCGATCCCGATAGATGCCTCAGCCGGTTTCGGGTTCAGGGCAGAGGGCTCCCCAAGATACCCCCGCCTTATAAAATACAAGTTTACCTTCATCTTGTGATTGTTCAACTTTCAGAAGAACGTAAGGAGATCTCACACGAGAATGGGAAAGCACACTCCAAACCCGGTTCTAGGAGTTATTTCGGGCGTTGGACTGAGTCCCGAGCCCAGAGCCAGGCTCCTATTTTAGGCGAGGGGCGGCCATCGCCATCAAAGTCCAGCAAACCTGGGACAATCTTCATTACCCGACGAACATTAAGCTTGCTGCACGGATTCCAGAGGCTGAGAGGCTTGTGTCGCTGGGCTTCGGGATGCGCGTGTTTCTTTATGAGGGTCACTCCCTCCCCCATACATCGCAGTGTTGCAGTGCACTGCAGCAGGGAGGCTTCCAACTTCGAGGCAGCTTCATCTGTTTGCCCGACGAGCGTTAGTCCGCTTTGGCGGTTTATCATCAATAGGATTTAATCCGAAAAGAGGCCCCGAGACTCCACTCACACGCCCTTCTTTCAAGAATTTACCTGAAATTTAGGTTGGAACCCCTCTGTATAGTTGACAGTATCTGCATTCCTTCGTAGAGCCCATCGAGACAGAACCAGCAACTTGGGGTTCGGGCTACGCTGCAAGCAGGGATGCGAAGGATTTAGGGCTTAGGTTCAGGTTTAGGATGTAGGACCCTTTAGGAGTTTAGGGGTGAACGGGGGTTCAGGGCATAAGTCGGGTCTGGGGTTCGGGGTCTCGGAAGATCGGAGCTTATCTGGTACAAACCCGGCCGAAGGAGCGCCGGAGCCTAGAACATCGCAGCCCATAAGGCTTCTTAGGCACACGATGACCCAAACTTCGAAGCATATCAGCTTGAAAACATACCTGAGCCAAGCAGCCGAACACGATTTTCGCATCGGCAGCATGCGCACGAGAG